CGGGGGCGTCGCACCTTGACAGTGGTGGTGGTCACCCTGCGACCACAGCGGTTAGAGCTGCCTGTGATGAACGATTAACTGTCGCTGCGCTCTTTGCCGATGTCCCAAGAGCTGCTGCTGCTGCGGCTGTTGTTGTTGTTGTTGCTGCTGCTTCTGCAACCTTGGTGCGCGCTTCCGGGGCTCGGTGACGCCTGCTGGGACCCATCCCCATCCGCAGCAGTTCTCCTCCTTGTAAGGGCGAATTGATGCGGTCAAAGTACGTGCTCAGCTGCGCTGACACAACCCTCGTGGTAGGGCTGTCCTCTTGCGGTGGCCTCTGCGAGAAGCAGCAGAGCCAATTCAGTAGAGAACCGCGCTTCCACGTGGTAATGATGACGCAAATAATGGTGCAGATCAGACCTGGAGCATTCACCCCTGATACAGCCATCCTCGACGCAACCTCTTCGTTCATGAGCGAAGCCAGCCACGTGGCGATGTCCGTCGCTGCTTCTGTCCATTTCTGGTCAGACACCACCGATTCCTCTGCCTCCCGCAGCAACTGCTTCATTAGCTTCACCCATGGCGGCAGCTGCAGCTCCTCGATGAACCGCTGTTGGATGGCGTGACCAAACATCCGCTTCGGCGCTGACCGAAGTAGAAAGGGAATATCATGGATCATTGCGCTGCGCTGCAGCGGCGACACGAAGCAGGCACGTGCGTCGGCGTCAAAGCAATCGCGGTGACTCTTGTAGCGCGCTCTGTCCTTATCGTCGGCAAAGGACACACAGTCATTCGCTGCCACCGAGGAAGTGGAGCAGTCCATGGAGTGCAACATTGCACCGTTCATGCTGGATAGTGGCGAAAAGCGTTGGTAGGGCCACCATGAAAAATCAAGATTCGTATACCCTTTCAGAACCACACGACCGGCCGGCTCCAGTTCCACGTGTGTCTCATGGAGCAAGAAGCGGAATGGGGTGTGCAACGGTGTATCTTTGCACTCCACACACATCGCATTAGCCTGCGGTTGCGGTGCTGATGTGGCGTTAGTGCTCCTCGTCCTCCAAATGTTGATGCCGCGGACGGCGTGGTTGACATGTGTACAGGTACTGCTGTTCTCGCCACACACCGTCAACAAACCCATGCCGTTTGCAGGTGCCGAGGACACAAAGCCCACCTGCACTGCTGCGCCACCTGTTGCTGTTTCTCCTGTGCCGTCCACCTCAACCTTATTCGTGCAAGCATACGGGAAAGTGGGTGTGATATAGCGGAAAAGCGTGGAGGATGCTGTTGGAAAGTGTTGCATAGTCGACCAGTTCGCGAAGGACAAGACGCCACAGCGAACACCTGACGGATTCCACGTGTTACTGGGGCGCATGAAAACACATCCCGTCCACACACAATGGGGAATGAAGGATCCAAAAGATAATAAACCGTTGTAGAATGAGAACCCGTGACTGGTATTGATATCAGCAACAGGTGCCCCCTCATGTCGGAACGGAAGAACTGGCTCATTGTACTTCACTGTTGTTTTGGTGGACAGGTACGGCGGCACTGGGCCTTGCACCGACGAGTATCGTGTGCAACTCCTCTCCCCAGCTCTGCAGCCCGCCAACTCCCTGGTCACACGCAGCGGATCGTCGCTCACCTTTCCGTGCCGCATGGTCGCCGCCTCGGAGACGGAGGGCCGCGTCCCGACCCGCACACCGCCAGTAGTATACGCCACGTTCAAGGCAAACTGCACCGTTGCCTCCGGGAGCGGGTCGATTGTGCTGCCTGTGAAGAATGCGTCGTGGAGTGTGACCCCCAGATTGACCGGCATTGTGTGACCGCTGAGCACTGTGAAAATCCGCGCCGTCGCGAAGGGTGGGAGGGGCACAGCCGCGCCGGCGTGAGGAAAGAAGAGCGGCAGCAGCAGCAGCAGCAGCAACATGAACGATATGAGGTTGTGCTGCAAGGGGCGCATCCATCCAATGCCTCTTGCCATTGCACCCTGCGAGAGGAATTCACCGAAACAAAAAACACTTGCGGCTTCTCTATTTCACTCCTGCCATGATGAGCAAGTGACAACGTCACACAATACAGAGAGAAAATACATGTGGAATGCAGCACACACACACAGACCTCCTCCCTTTCCCCACACAGACAGCCGATTAAGGCGCATAAGAGAAAGCAACCATGTACTGTGCGGCCACCCATCTGACCCATGCACCATCTCTTCCTTCTCCCTCTCCACTTTCTTCACGCCATTCCCTCGGTAAAATTACACTCATGCCCCTCTTCCTCTTGTTCCTCCCCGTTCAACGCCTCTTCCCACTTCTTCCTCTTCGTCGTGTTTCTGATGCGAGTCGGACGTCACGATACCGCCGTGGCGGTGCATTGGCGGCGCATATCGCGGTGGCCGCTGGTACGCCGGCTCCGGCAGCTCACCGGAGCGCAGCTGCGCTTCAAGCGGTGCCCCACTGTCGCCGTGGCGGCGGTGTCCGTTGTGCACCAGCCTGCTGTTGCGGGCCACACCTCGGGTGTTGTAGTTGAAGGAGGCCGCACGGTGGCCATCGCTGTCAGCGTAGCCACCGGCGCTCATAGAACCGCGCGCAAAGCGGGCAATCAGACAGACGCTGCGCATCGTGACGCCAAGTTTGCGCGGCTCCGTCCACTCCACTGGGAACGGGTTGAGGCCGCACTCGCCGATACGCTCCATCGATGCGGGGAAGTCTTGGTCCACCAGCACGTCGTACACCGCGTTCACGCCGCAAAGGTGCGACACGAAGCTGCAGCCTGGCTCCACGCGCAGGATCTGCCACGGCACTTTGCGTATCGCACTCGAGGCCGCCTCAACAGCGTGGCGGCCGTGCACGGTGTCCTGCGCGATCAGCGTGCGCTTGCCAGCGAAGGCCAACACATCGGCCAGCGGCGGCGCGTCGGGTGCCATCTCAATCGGCACAACGTTCAACGCCCGTTGCTGCGCCGCGGCCGCCTCGTCTGGGGCAGCAGCACCGGTGAGGGCCATCATGCACAGCTTGTTGGTGCGCGCGGTGCCGTGACCCATGAGGATGCCGTGGGAGGTCGACACGAAGTCCCCGCCGCTCGCAGCGCCGCCCTTCACGTCCTGCAGGATGTGATTGAAGTCTCCCGTCGCCCCGCAGGCACGCAGATAGCGCAGCGTCTCGCTGATCTCCGAGCTGCGGTGCTCACGGCCGTACTTGGGCATGGGCAGAACAACATCGTAGTGCTGGAAGAGAATATCCGCAGCGAAGAGGCAGTCATAGTACGGGCACGCCCGCATCTCGTGGATCTGCTCCACCAACTGCGTCTGCTTCAGCGCCACAAAGAGATCCTTCACTTGACGCACAAACAACTCCGTGTCAATTTCCTCCCCACTGGGGCTGTGCGTTGGCACTACATGCTGCGGGGGAACACGGTAGAGCGCATTCACGTACCTCCGCACGGAAACAAAGAGCGGCACAGACAGTATACGGTGCTGCTGCTGCTGCTGCAACCGCCCTCTCGCGGTGAGGCCAACAGCGATGGAGCCAGCCACCAGTGTGAGCCGCATCCCTAAAGGAGAAACACACGCACATACACACAGAG